AGGAGTCAATGAGAAAACTTGTACCCAACACCAAATGTACCGGAAAAGGTGAACAATTCGGGCGGATGCATATTAAAGGACTGAAAACTATGCGCACTTCGGGAGTAGTATCTGAGTCCGAGGAGACTTACTGCAAAGAACACCTTAAATTTTAACAAAAGGGTGACTTTAAATTGGTACCAAATAACAGTTATTTGGTTCCTTTAAAATGGCATACCTTCAACTTTGACTGAAAAGCCTCAACGGAAACCTGCTGAATCACATAGTATCTTGTTGTCAGTACCATTCGAGAAGCCTTTTTATTCCAAATAAAAATTCACATTTCGCATGTTGTCCAGTCCTTACTAACTTGCTGCAATCGCACAACAAAGGCCATTTTTGTCGATCTTCACATTACATCCTGCTTATTTTAAAGGCAAGTGAACCAATGCTTTTACTTTTACTACTTTTAGGTTGAGCCAAGTAGGGAGGTTTTCTTTGTATTGGAGGATGCGGGAGGCAGCAGAAGTCCCATCAGATTCCTTCTACCACTCGATCTGAAAATGCTGGAGGGTAAGTATGATGTAATAAAGCGCATAGGAATTAATCAAAAAACAGTAACTGCAACCTGACCCATCTACTTAATTACATTCTTTCTATACACTATTATTAATACTACTGCTAGCTACTTATTGATTAAAGATCCATTGTAAAGGAGTAGTAAAATTTGTCGTTTTCTATACTGCGTTGTGATCCACCTCAAAAGCGTCGGGCTCTAATACTTTGACCTAGTTTTATTAGATCAGCTGAGATGGGGAGCCTGTTAATAGGAATGCTCTTCCAGAATGCCACTGTATAGACGAGCAGGCAACGTGCTTGTTTCTGTAGGTTGCTTGCTAACATACCATCTTTTCCTGTAATCTCCAACAGGTCTGACTCCTTGTGAGTATCTGCGTCGGTATACGGAAATCTCTGAACGAAGAAGAGCGCTCTATCATCGCGTGTTTCGTCGGTTTCGCGATGCCGATGCACTGCCCCATGATGTAAGCCGCGTGGTCATGAATGAGCTTACACAAACATTTTTGATAGCTCTTTTTTGTTGATTGTCCTGAATTGGTCAGCAAGATTGCCTCTATTCTATTTCGAGGTCCTAGATCGGGAGACCTTGGATTCAGGTTGAACAGGCGAGAAAGTCACAGTTACTTTATTAGGAATTCAATCTTGCTATATATATTTTTTTAATTATTTATTTAAATAGAAAGATCGAATTCCTAATTTAAAAAATGGTGACATTCTCATTGCTGAAATTAAATATTTTTCATTATATTAGTCGCTACTTCTAACGACTTATGAGTAGTTTGGTAAAAGCATACATCTACTCTAGAAAGTTTTCCTTATTTTGAATTTGGTGTTTAATGTAATTTTGTTGATCCGAGCTTCTTTTTTTCAAACTCTAATTATTCTTGCCTCAGCTTGCTTCTCCCAGCGGTCACCTCTTAACGTTATTGCTAAATTAAATATTTACATTTGTATCTACAATGCATGCCATACACATAATACATTTATACTATATATTCAAACAAGATGAAACTCTCGGAAAAATTATATATATATATATATATTCTAATTAAACTAATAGCTCTCTTATTATTGCAACGCATTGAATAGTCTAAAACTACCGAATAAGAACCTTTTTTAATCGTTGGTTATTTAATATGATTCAGGGAATAATTGCTGTATTTTCCAGGATAAAATGAGCAGAAGTGCAAATGATGCCCTTGAATCCCAATTGGCCTTGCCTCCTAAAATTCTTTCTCATCCGGGGTGGACAAAAGTTTCAACCTCGCCTGAATTTCACCCGAGCGTCCAACGGGATTTTGACTGCAAGTAGTGCATATTAAGTAACAATGTGACTATTCCGCCAGAAAACCACGGGTTTTAGGAAAATGTAGGACACGCAATGCACATTTCAATTTATATTTACAGCCAGACTACGTAACAGTAGGATAACCTAGAACTTGCCATTTTTCTCGATTGCATCTCGATATTCGTAGTGAGTAGGCTTATAGAAGATCAGTGAACCTACAGCAAAATGAGCATTTCGCCATAAAAAGGCGAAGCGAAAACACATTAAACTAATTTAAGTATGAAAAAAACTCATATTTGCAACATCATTAAATGCTACTACTAATTGCTTACTAGTAATATAGTATAAAATTTCAATTTTTTTCAAATGTATTCTTTATTTAGAATTTGAGCTTCACTGCCGCATTTATGATCCCATATTTAGGCTGTAAGTTTCATTTAGTTGAAACTATTTGAGACAAGTTTGGTCCCGCGGACAGACATAGAAAAAAAACGCTATTTAAAGGGCTGACAAGGAATTGTGTATTGGACGAGATTCATACCTTTTCATTTAAATCTAATGCTTAAATTGTTTAAATTAAATGTCTGCCAACTTCAGGCCTACGAATATACAAATTGATGATACTGCTGGCTTCCAGTTTGTACCAAGTTATTGTGATGGTAACCAAGGCTTCCAAATTCATTTTTAACTTATTTAGGCTACTTGCTCATACACATGACTGCCGTAGGACTTTACATGTTACAGCAAGAATCTTCGAGATACTATCATAAGGGATGCCTCATTTCGGATATTCAAGGCATTTTTTAATTTCCCTTCAGAGGGCTTCTCAACTGCTCTACTAGGTTTTCCAGGACTTGACGAAAATAGAACTTATTTGACCGATTACCATCTGATTCGCCGATTAAGCTCTCCCAATCATGCAGGAGCCTGATAGCTGATTTTTTAGCTTCCTTCTACATGTTCAGCCTTTTCCAGCCATAATACATGGAACCAATGGGGCAGGATTATTATTTTGTAAGTGTCCAGAAAAGACGTCAAAGTTGGCACGAAGTTCTCGCAGATCTAAATTTCAATTCCGGCAAAAATAAGAGGCCTGTGCTCTAGGCACTGGATATCTATTTTCCAGCTCTTTCCACTTCCAACCAGCAGATATCGTGCATCAACTTCCTCCTTTTGGCTTACATTTTGCAGCCAGTATTTAACTTCCACATTCATTATTGT